CCCCCCCCCCCCCCCCCCCCACACGTCACATTCGAAGGGCTTCTTGGAAGGCAGGGTTTTCCGCTCTGCAGTGTGACGTTTCTAGCCGTGCCTGAATCCTGACTGTCCTGTTCCCTCCAACAGAAAAACTTCATTGGTGTTTGCGCTGCAAACAGATTCAAGAAGATCACCAGCTCCGGATCCCTGACTGCGCTCGGGATTTGAATTGGGGGCTGGAACCGAGCGAGGGATGGAACCACCAGCCAGAGGCTTGGACGGTGTTGTGTTTGGATTGAGTAGCGGGGAGGAACAGCACCCTTCACGGATCACAGGACAGTGGGGCCCGGAGCATGGGACCTTGCGCAGAGATGCTCCACCCCTCCGTACAAAGTCTGCCCATTCCCCTGCCCCAGGCCCTGCCCCGTCCCCCTGGGCAGGTTGCCCCCTTCCCCTCTGTGCTGACTTGAGCCTCGCCACCCTGAGTGCTGCTTGTAAGGATTTGGCTGCTGAGGGCCCGTTAGGACTCAGTGCTCCGCTCGAGCTGCTTCTGCGGAGGCCGCGCGGCTCCCCTGTGCTCGTTGTGCGCCGTGCCACCCGTGCCCCCGTCGCCAGAGCCCTGGCTGCTTAGAAGGACCCTTCTCGGGACACTCAGAAGGTGCCACTCATCCACAGAGGCAGGGTCCCGGCCCCCCCGCCGTTGGGTGACTGTCCAGTTGGGTGGGTGCCAAAAGAAGCTGCTTTGAAATCTCGACGCTCTGACCCCGCCGAGGGCATGTTCCACCTTCCGGGCCACGGAGTGAGCCTTGGTTTTCCCCGGTGGAGAAAAGGGCTGTCAGAACCTTGCGATCCAGTCCAGCTCTGCCCGTTTTTCCCCGACGGAGGGTTTCTTCCCCTTTGCTCCCTTGTAAAATGTCTTCTCTGCTTAAACGCAGATTTGAACTGGAGCTGGTGGCATGGATGTAGGAAAACTCAGCCCCCGCTGACCCCATGGCCGACGGGCTTGGCCAGCCCCTCCTGGCCCTGGGCAGCCCCGCGACTTCCCTCTTCTGACCTTCAGCTGGAGGTTCCTCAAAAGGTTGCTTCTCCTTCGAGGGGCTCCCTCGCGGCCTCCCTGCTCCCTCCACCCCACGAGCGCTTCCTCTTCTCCCCTTTCTTCCCCCAAAGGTTTGCGGGTCGCTCCTCTGCATGCCGGCAGGAGAGACCAGCTGTGGGAAACTGATCTTTGGGCAGGAAGCGGAGCCCCGGGCAGGAGGTCTTCTCTGCTATGGGCAGGCTGGGGGTGCAGGAAGCAAACTCCCCGCCAGATGGGCAGGCGGTGAGGAAGGCGCCCTCGTTGTGCAGAGCTCTTGGCACGAAGCTCTCTGCCCCTCGGAGCTGCCGAAGGAGCCCCTGGAAGGCCAGAGTCAAGCAAACTGCCTAATGGAGACCATCTGTGCTCCCCTTCCTCCTCCTCCTCTTCCTCCTCGCCCATTTGAAAGGGCTGCTTGAGAGCCGACCACCAACAGACAGGAACTGTGGTGCGTGCGGTGTCTCTTCTCCTCTGCTGGCCCTGGCTCAGCCTCCTGTTGGGAAGAGGGCCCAAGAAGTAGGTCTCCACCGGAGCCGGAGGCAAAAGGGAGCATCTTTCCCCGGTGCCTCGGCCATTGGGGTCAAAAGCCAGCAGGAAGCGGCTTTTCCAGCAGGAACCTGGATCTCTCCTCCATCCGGCCACGCACGGGCTGGTTCGAACTGTTTCTGAAGGCAGCCTTCACAGCACACCACCCTCCGAGGCCGTCGGATACGGCTCCCGTCCGCCACGACGGAGCAAGGAATTTGGTCTGCCTTTGGAGGCGAGCTTGCCTGATTTCACAGTTGAAACCAATCCACGGTCCAGAACTGGACTGCGTGCAAAAGCTGCTCTTGTTCTCATCCGGCACTGCAGTCCGGCAATTTTGTTAAACGTAGATTTGGGAAACGCTTGGAGAAAACAGCCTCAAGTTATGAAAATAGCACCCAAGAAGGCGTTTTACTAGGGAAAATGGTTAGCCAAACCTGGGTCCCCTAGGCAAAACTCCCGGCAAAAATACATCTCTGGAGAAAGTGCCCCAAAATATATACAGATTTTCACACAAACTTCTAAAAGTAATTTCTCCAGTTTGAGAAAAATGAGGAAAGTGAAACTGATGTCTCTAATCTTGCACATCTGAAGCACACTAGATTGGGCAAGTCTGATTGGGTGGCTGTGTTCACACTACACGTTTAATTAAACCAGCTCAAGACCAAACGGCTGTACAGGTAGTCCTCAACTTATGACCACAAATGAGACAAGAATGCCTGTAATTAACCAATGCGGTCATTAAGTGAGTCACGCCCAATCTTACATCCTTTTTTACAATGGTCATTAATCAAATCCAGCTTCTCTGTGGACTTTGCTTGTCAGAAGTCCCCTGGGAAGGTCACAAATGGCGATCACATGACCCCAGGATGCTGCAACCATCGTAAATACATGCCGGTTATCAAGCGCCCAGATTTTGTTCATGTGACCGTGGGAACGCAGCAACAGTCGTAAGTGCAAGGACCTGTTGCAAGTTACTTTTTTTAGCGCCATTGTAACTTTGAACGGTTGTTAAACGTATGGTCATAAGTTGAGAACTACCTGTATTCGCACAAGATGATAAGTTTCCTTAGCGTTAACCTTAGTTAGGCTTTTGGGTGGCATATCATGTGGTGTGAACTTAGATTGACTAGTTTGTGGTTTAATGTCTTGTGCAAAGCCAGAAAAGAAGCCTATTTAATAGCCAAACAACGTCTGTTGTATGATTCCAGCCAGTGCCATCTGGAACACGTCCGGATAACATCACTTGTGTAAAAATGTCATCATGCCAAAGTTGGCGATGACGTCATGGTGCATGGGACATCACATCCTTAGTGCCCTGTGGATGTTTACAATCACTGCCACGCTGGGTTCAAGTCTGCATCATGTCCTTTTTCCAATGGGGGAGCTGATTTGCAGCAGGGGGCCTGGCTACTTTGATGCGGGGGAGTGTAAAGTGCATGTGAAAACACACTGGGAGAAACTGAAGCATGCCGTTGAACCAGCTCCCCCGCTTCCCCCACAACCTCCTGGCTGGCAGGGACATGGATCAGAGCTGGGAAGATGCTTGACACATGAGGTCATCCCATACTTCGTTCCTATGCTTGACCGGAGAAGAAGAGAGGAGGGGTATCTACACCCCCCCCACTGGTGTCTCTTGCCTGGGGAGGGGCTTGCCAGAGGCCACAGGTCCTCCAAGGGTCTCCTGGGACAGCCGCAGCCCCCCCGCCCTGGGAAGAAAGGGTGTGCCTGCCCGTTCAGCTCATAGAGGCTGCGTTCACACAGCACACTTAACCTGCATGCCAAATTCACCCATTTTCTGGCTTCCCATCTACGTGGAACCATAACTGGATTCCAAGTGCTGGGGCAGGCTTTCTCAACCTCGACAACTTTAAGACGAGTGGACTTCAACTCCCAGAATTCCCCAGCCAGAGTTGAGGAACACTGTGCTGGAGATGCAAAAAATCCCCACCCAGCCTCCAAGTCATGGAGAAAAGAACCCCAACCAGATCTTAGCGTGTTGTGGGAACGCAGCTGCCAGGTTGCTAAGTCACCTGGATGAGTGTGTCACGCAAACCAGCAGGTGAGACGCAGGGCACGGGGCCATTCAGCAGGTTTTGCTCCCATGAATTTCCTCGGCCGCACTCCTGCCTTTTTTTACTTAGAAAGAGCGTCTTAACTGGAAGAGCGGCTGGGCAATGGAGCCGAGGGTATCCTCAGGGTGTGGTCGGAAAAGTCAAGATGGTGGCCATGAAGGTGCAGTCAAAGCTTCATCTGTTTTCTACCTGTGTCACACAAGGAAAAAAAGGTGGAGCTTCAATTACACCATTATGGTCAACATCCTGACTTTTTTGACCACACCCTGAGGTCACCCCGGCATGCTGGGTTAACAAAGCTGGACGTTGTTCAGTCCTCAACTTTGAGGAGTTTGACCCCCCACCCCAACAATAAGCAAAGTGGGCTAGTCAAATTTGAGGGTGAAGCACAGTGTTTCTCAAACTTGGCCACTCTAAGAGGTGTGGGCTGCAACTCCCAGCTGCCCCAGCCAGCCTTGCTGGCTGGGGAATTCTGGGAGTTGAAGTCCACACCTCTTAAAGTGGCCAAGTTTGAGAAACACTGGTGTAGCAGACTGGAAAGTGGATTGCGGTTTTCAGCCAAACAGCTAGGGATATCTGAGGGGGGGAGGGAGGTCAAAAAAGTCAAGAGGGCAGCCATGACCATGCAACTGAAGCCATGCACCTTTTTTAGTTAATCACAAGGGGCGGAGCTTTAATTGCACGCCTGCCATCTCCACTTTTTTGAACCCCCCATTTCCCTCCCTCGACCTCACAAAAAAGTTCTTGTTGAGTCTGGGGTATTTTCAGCAACTAGTTGTGCTTTGAAAGATGAACCTCTCAGAGGAACAGGAGCTTGGCCCGGATGCTCACAGGGTTGCTCTTTTCACTCTGCAGAAAGCGTCTTTCCCCTCCTCCTCCTCCTCCTCCTCCTCCTTTATATTATTATTAAATTCAATAACAGTGAAAATCAATAAGGTCCACATCATGAAACAAAATATAAAAAACCACAATGTGATATAACGACACAGATACGCATAAGCGCTGGAAGAGAGGAAGAAAAAACTCACCCAACTCCCACGCTCCGTCCTTGGAGGAAGAAAAACCCAGAGCGTTGAAGGCAGGCAGGCAGGCAGGCTGACTCTGGAGGCAGGGAGGAATTGCTTGCTTTTGGAGGCGCACTGGACAAACCCTACTGACTACCTTTAATTCACCCCTTTAATTTCTACATATGACAGCCTCAAGACGGTTCACTTCTTTAAACCCAAGCCCTATAAAAATAAGTAAGGAACATTTGAAGGGATGTGCAGAACTTTGAATCCAACCACGCTGGGATTGCAACACCCTGTTCTGAACGCGAAG